ATATTATATATATATATAGATTATTTTATATCTATATAGATATATATATATATATATATATATAATGTCGTGCCGAATAGGCAAACTGCGGTCTTGGCTTAAATAGCAACTCTCATCTCTCCCATATAGGACACGCAAGAAAAATTTGTGTATGCAATAATTTCGCCAAAAGAAAATCTGAACCTAAAGAAAAAAAAAAATTTTTTTGATTGTGTTTGTTTAGTACTAAATTATTTAAACGAATTTCAAAATATATTTTCAGTTCAGAGGTAGCTAAAAATACACATTTGTTCTTGTTATAATAAGTTTAGGTAAGTTTTTCTGAGAATTCTTTTGGTTCAAATTAAAAATTTTTAAACATAACGACATGAAAAAATAATATCTTTAAACTGTATAAGAGAAAATTTCAGAAAGGATTTACAAATTTTAAATGAGTTTCTGCTAATTGATCCATATTTTACATCATTCGGCACGGACATTAACATATAATAATATATATATACATATATATATATATATATCTATAATATATAATATATATATATATATATATATTACTTAGCATCAAGAGTATGATTTAACATGCAACATTAAAAAAAAAAATTAAATACTAAATGTATCTTGCTGCTGCACAAGCCAAGAATGGTAACCCTCGATTTTATAATCCATCCTCTGTGCTACAATAACCACGACATGAGATCTATTACAGAGTGCGGCATAGGTGTTGCATAATGCAGATAGATGAACAGTCATTACAAGTCACACATGGGAACTATTATCTATAGATTCCTCAACAAAAAGGGTGACTCAGCCCAGATCTAATTCAATCCTTTCAGCGAATCCATATCCTAAAATACAACAAGCACAATTAAGTTTGAAGCTCTGGGAAGTTGCATTATTAAGGTATCAGCGTAGAAGGGTCTAAAAATTATCAGGGGGGTGTTGATACCAGACAATTAATCACATGAAAAAACTATATTTCAGTTTACCAATATCTTCCCAAAAAAAAAAAAAAAAACAAAATTAGACCTACACAGGTCAAATCAATTAAATTTTTTTTCCTCTAAGATTTGCATACAGTTCATCTGTTTTTCAAATGAATCTTTAACCTTTGTACTGATAAATTCACTTGGTTGGCAAAACGTCTACATAAAGATCCCAAATGCTGCACATGTGTTAATAATTCTTTTAGTTTTATGAGAGTAAGCAAGTTTAATGTAACGAGTAAAGTACGTAATCAGACAAATCAACAATCTGTATTATAAGCTCACAGGATGCGAAAACGCGTCTACAATACAGATATCCAGAAAGTTGCACATGTGTCTCTTAACTTTCAATCAACAATGATCTTGAGGAGGCGTTCGTGAGTTATGACGAAATAACTTCGAAAGAAAATATAAAAATAATCAGAATCGAAGAAAAGTAAAATATGCATGAACCTACTAACAGTATTTACATCGAGACAAATAAATCACACGTCCATTACATTCTTTCATTAAAATCACCATATTTACCGACCACATAAAAGATGCATTGGTCGCCGTTGCCCCACGGTGATAGCTAGCGACTCACATGGCTGAGGTCCAGGTAATAAACCCTGGACCATTAACATAAAATATAATAATGAATAATAAAAAATAAAAAGAGTACAACTCAGCTATGAAATCATTTTCCATATAAAGGCCCAATGAAAAAAAAAAACAGTACAAATCTGTCCTTATATGTTTGGGAAATTATTCACTCTTGAATGTTCAACAAAAGTACCAAAAGTGAGGAGTCATTGGAATTTAGATCACCCACTTCCTGACGTTACTGACATGGCTGAGGTCGCTGCCTGCATCCCCATGGAATACTTGCCAAATAATACATCCCTGCTTCTCCACGCGACTGAAGTCCTTCGGTCATGCCTCCGTCTGGGAGTGAGGAGGGCTCACATTCACATCTGTCACACTCTGGTTTCCCCCCAAGACACACAGCGTCAGCTTACCAAGGGTGCAAGGTTCCCCATTTCAACATTTCCACAGCAATGACAACGACAGATCATAAAGAAGGTAGTTTTCAGGAAGTATTGTATGTCCTGCTGAGCTGCGGAGGGATCTTTGTGCGAGGTGCCTTAGGCCTCTTCTCATATGTGCACACAAAAATCTTTGTCAATATGTATAAATAATTACATGTGTGTGTGCGTGTGTGTGGTGTATGTGTTGTGGTGTGTGTGTGATGTTGGTGTGTCTCTGGTGTGTGTGTGTAAACATAAAATGTGAAATAATACCGCCAAAGGTACAACACAAGAATACATAACCTGTCATGAAAAACATTGATTAATATCTGATGACTGGAGGTCTCATGTTGCCACTTAACACAGACAGCACATCTAATAGAAACGGAAATAACGTCTTTATGCCTTGATCACAGACCCATCTTCATCCCTGAGGGCTTAGTGTTTTCACAGCATAAATAAATAATACGTAATAATAATAAAAATAATAATACAATTAATTATAATAAAGAATAATAACCGATTTATTTCGGTTGCTTTCAGTCCATAAAATTCCTCACCTTCGTCGATACTCACCTAACGTAAGGGAACTAAGCATCCTGGAGAGCGAAACACGGTGCCTACAGTAAAATTTATTATTAGCTGCACATGGTTTTATCGCGGTAATTCCTATCAACATTATTACTTATCTAATATCAAAAAAGAAAGTTTTTCAGGAAGTTACTGAACAACTATCCTTCAGAGAAATGTCAGATCGCCTGGATGAGAGCCTGAGACCGCTAAGCACCAACAGTCTGGAAAGACCAAACAACCACACATCTGGCCTCAGGCTAGGGCTTCGATAGGAGAAGAATTCTCTAACCAGACTAAAGGCTCATCCCAGTGCTAAAAAATACAAGTCCTCCATAATTAACAGTCTTCACCATAACAATTGTACAACAGGAAGACTGACGCGGAAGCGCCCGTGCATATGTTTGTTGAAAACTAGCCACTATCAATATTTGGGTCTCTTTATTCTGGAAACAAGTTTCGCCAGCCAGTGGCTTCTTCAGTGGAATTCAGAGCAAGGTGAAAGATAGCGAGTTTGAGGTAATCAGTACCCTCAGCCTGACTCGAGTGTTCAGTCCACCATCCCTTGATATTAGTGTTATCATTTATCAGCATGGTACTGACTAACTTAAGCAAGTCTTGTATTATAGTATATTCGTTGTGGAAATGAGGCGTAATCACAATTTGATTCAAGAAGAGGAGATTAACATCAATTCAATTGGATTAAAATCCCTTCACTGCAATAGACCTTTCTCCATTCAAAGGACAAAAAACAGATGAGTCAGATACAAAGACTGAGGTAAGTAATGTACATAGCCCTCGGCTCCAATGGCCAAAAGCTCCACTGCGGTCATCATCGAAGACCCACAGTAGAAATATTATGATACTTTTTTCCTACAAACCTTACCTAACCCACCTTGGACGCCAGTAAGAGCATAGAGAGAGTGCTGTACACGGGAATCAACAACCATAAGCTCCTAGGAAAATCTGCTGTGCCGCCCGTCCTGTCCTCCAGTTTGAGACAATCTGTACTCAGAAAAAGATAACGATCAGATATAAATTCAGAGGTACTCCTTGTTAACCTCTGGGGCCTTAGATCCTGTCTTTGATTCTATACCACATGCTCTTGCGTTACTGTTCACTCAGGAATGATGTGGGTGCACAATAAACTACCCCTTCGTTGGAAAAATCTTAATCTACTCCTCTCAGTTCAAACAGCAACGTGGAGACACCATCGCTCTAAGACCGCATCAAAACATCCCTCGACTGCTCAGGACTGAAGAGACGGCACATAAGACTTGGTGAACTTGTCAATGGAGGTTGTGAGTACCTTTCACACACCAGGTCTTGTCTCACAAGCCCAACGGTCTCTGGGCCTTGGTACTCTCTACCTAAGGGAGACTATACCTCTCAGAGCATGAATGTTCCAGGGCGCAGTGAGTGTATAGGTGGGGACTCTCAGGCAAGACATGTGAAGATGAACGACGGAGTATACCCAAAACTTGACAGTTCAACGATTCGTTTCGGGTCCTTCACAGAGCATTTCGGCAGCGCTCATTCAAGTATGGAACTGTTTGAGAAATTTTGAAACAGATAGCAGCGTTGTTTCATACTTTTATTATTCAAAATTAGCGCAGGTACAGCTGCGGTAGTGTATGGAAGATTTAACATATTGAAAAGATTGTATATAAGACAGAGAGCAGGACTTTACACAAAAATACCCGCACTAAAAGAAGAAAAGCACTTCAACGACAGAACGTTTCGGTCCGACTTTGTCAATGACTTCTGGTCAATGGTCCCAAGTCCGACGCGACACGTCGAATCGTAACGCTTCTCCTCTTCTAAGTGCGGGTATTATTTATAGTACCGTCACGGTAATGTGACCATTTTGCGCGTTATTAGAGCAGGGCTTAGAATGGGAAGGGGATGAGTATATCAAGTGTTTCACATTGAAGCCATATATGTGAACAGTAATTTAGATAAGTGGAAGCGATCATTGCCATTTAATATAAGAAATGAAAGAGTGATAAGGAGCAATGTGGCAGATGTGCAAGTGTATGTAATAGGTAATAATTTTAACTAAATGCTGTAAAGAGTGTTATATGAGGATCTTAGACGTTCAGGTTCGGGCGAGTAGAAGCAAGGGAGCTACACTCCCGGTAAAGTAGGTACTATAGACATGCGAAGGTGTAATGTCAACCATGGTGTTTAACATATATTTAGATGGTGAGATGGTGGATAAATCTAAGTAAGTCAAACTACAAGTGGGAGTTGACACAGTTACTTATTGCTAATCTGATACTGTGCTTATTGAGAGATCTAAAGAAAGTTGCAAAGGGTCAGATGAGTTTGGGAGTGTGAGTACAAGTGAAAGGTGAAAATCACATAGAAAAGAGAAGGAGTGATTTTGAACAGCGCAATCTGGACGCCAAGGTATTTGGTCCAGTGTGGCGCAATGGCGAAGGCATTGCGCATACCTTGTTTTCAAGTCGTAGGTTTGGAGTCTCCTTCGCCAGAGAACAGTGTTTTGTGTATATTTGCCTGCTCTTGCGAAAATCCTTGCATTCTTAAAATCTTAAGTAAGCTGATTCATGCAGGGGATGGAATGAAAGCTGTAAGACTTCTCTCCGCTGAAAGCTGTCTGTCCTTGGATCAACGTGAAACGCAGCTGCACGCCAGGTATAGATCTAGATGTGGTGAGACAATGGTATAGCACTGCCGTAACCTTTTCAAGGTTCGTAGAGTTTGCCAAGTCTCCTTCGGCCAGAGATCAGTGTTGTATGTATCTATATATATATATAAAATATATTTACACTAAATATATATAAATAGATATATAATATAACAATATATATATATATAAAATATATCCTATGAAAATTTTAAATAGGTCTGTTAAGGGGAAAAGAAAATTGAGGGATATACGTTAATTAATTTAAATTCCTAAATGTTTTTATTTTCCATAAACAATAAAGACCGATAAACATTAACTCAAGTATTATAGTTAAGAAAAAATAACCTTAAGCTTGTGCGTTATTAAAAAGTTTTCGGTATCAAATTTGCAGAGTCCAGCATGCATCTTCTTGAACCTGCATGATCACCTGCATAACTACATGCAATTATACATGAACTACTGAATTGATGTAACCTAAGTATAATCTCTAAATGAACTACTACAGAACTGTACCCGCCGACAACATACTTTAAATATGACACCCTCACTACATGGTACCATGCCTAACTACAAGCAGTATATAAGGCAGTTCTTGCGCCACATCTTCAACAGTCACAAGACTGCTGAGCTATCACCACCTCTAGACTGAGGGAACTGAATACCTTATTTTGTCTTCTCCAGTCTTCTGTATTGAACCTGATATTGGACGAAACGTCTACATATTAAAGATACCCAATGTTTGCACATGTGGCGGTTTGATTTAACACTACATTACCTTGAAACATTCCTGCATAGTATATTGCACCGTACCTGCATGAACTCACCAGCACAGTAACGACTTTTGATGCGAAGGACAAAGTTTTATTCTTGTTGGTCTGTATTAATAAACTCAACAAAAAAGGAAAAAAAAATGAAAAAAAAAAAAATATTTAACAGACAGTAATGCGTAGTATTTTTTGTGAGACAGTAGGAAAAGATGAGAATGACAAGAATATGTTGGAAATTTTCTGTTATGTTAATTAAAAGGTAAATGTATAACAAGAAGGGGAATTGAGACATTGATAATTTTGGAAAATATATTGTTATATCTCTTATGAATTGTTTGTATATTCAAGGTTCTGCAGCATCTGGGATATGGGTGATAAAATCAGGGTTAAATCTTAAGGAATGGAAGGTATCGCTCTAAATTCCTCGTATCAAGAGCTCTTCACAATCAAAAAGCGCTTTTCGGATAAAAATTGATAATTGTGCACACCTCGTAAACAACTTAGAAGGTTCCGTGTTCGAAGTAGTTGCTTCTCAATTCTAATATTTATGTTGACGCACCCTCGACAGCGCATCTTCTGGTGTCCGGCCGAGGGTTTTTTGATCCAAGGAAGTGGCGAGATTGTGACACTATTCTTCCCTTGGACGAACCACCCAGTTCCTTCCATTTCTCTACTGCTACAAGACTCACGCCAACAACCCCAAAATTTTAGGGGCGATTTTTTTTATTTTAACGCTACCGTCCACCTAATAATAATAATAATATAAAATACATAATAATAAATTGCGTTGTAGCACAGTAATTCCCAATACATTAGAAGACATCAAGAGCAATGCTTTTAACATATCAGATTTTTAGAAAATGAAATAAGGGTTTGGTAAAATAAAAGAAACGCTGCATGTAGTAGCAGCTGCTGAGAGTAAATTGAACAGAAGTCGAATGATAATAGGTCAATAAGGACAATATTCAAGTCAGAATTGACTTAGCATACAGAAGTTAGTGTTGAATATCATTATTTACTGAGTTCCATAGTTAGGATCGTGAACGAGGTGAACCACTGGAGAGTCGGGAGATAATTTCCTCGTAAGAGAAATACTATAAACCAGAAGTTTTCTCCGTAATAAAGAACTGGATAATACGCGTGGAGATTAGAATAATCAGCGACGACTTTGTGATGTGTTTAATGAAAGAATTTTAAAAGTGGCCACAGAACTGTTTTATGGTGGAGAGAGTAAGGATGAAATTCCAGTGCAGTGCAAGGTTTCTTACGAGAATGAGTATGAATTGACTGATTATTTCCCATTCTCAGTTACTGTAATACCGCAAACGGGTTTTAAAGCCTCCAGAATCTCATAATACTAAAAGTAATAATAATAATGATAATAATAATAAAAAATAATTGAGGAACTGAATGTACCACATTAATTTATGGAGTGGATATACTCTGCACACTAAATTCTAGTTTAAACCTACCTGCGCGAATCGCAGCATAATACCAAATTGCAAATAATGGAATAACCTGACTTCGAGGTAGTCACCGGTCCCTATAACTTCGTACGACACCACCACACTTCGTAGTCACCAATCACGACTATGTGAGTTCACATGAGAGACCAAGGTGTACAAGAACAAGAAGATAAGAAGTCTCAGGATGCGTTCCGTCACTAACATGGAAACTTAACATGAATCGTTTCAACACCTCAGCGGGAACAACGTCTCCGGGCGAACGCAGTAGTCCTCGTTTAGTGATGTATACTGTGCCAAACTATGTATACCAAGAAATTCAACTGCTGACCAATTTGACAACTGGGATTCTTTCACACAGGAAGATTATGAAGGAAGACGTATGATGATGTAAACAAGAAATTCAACAACACAGACACCTGACTAACAACAAATGACAGGCAGCAGCAGCAGTAATCCAACAAAAGCAGCATCACCACCACCAACAACGACAACAAGAAAGCAGCAGCAACATCACCAATCAACGACCGACAAGCAGCCAGCAACATCACCAACAACAACAAAAGAATCAGCAGCACAATCACCACCAACGACAATAGAAGCAGCCACATCAATAGCAGTAGTCACAGAAAAATCAACACCAATTACCAACACCACTACCACCCACACAACCCCCAGTACCACCAACCCCACCACCAATTAACCACACACACCCACTACTACCACCAACACCACCATCCCATTCAACTACCCAACACCACACCACCATTACAACCACCACCACCACTACAACCACAACACCATCTCTCCAACCACCAACACCATCTCTACTACCACCAACACCGATCTCTAACTACCACCAACACCACCACTACAACCACTAACACCTACCACACCACTAACAACAAAAAGCAACACTCCAAAAACCACCACGACTCAAACAACACCAACACCACCACCACCACCACCATCACCAAACAACACCAACACCACCAAACAACACCAACACCACCACCACCAACAACAACACCAACACCACCACCACCAACAACACCAACACCACCTCCAACAACACCAACACCACCACCAACAACACCAACACCAACACCACCAACAACAACAACAACAACAACATCAGGCTAATTTGCAATACTTGAAACTAATATTATTATCAACCAACACCATTCAACAACATCCTTGCATCATACAGTACTCGAAGAAAATGGAAGTTGATAAAATTTGACCCGAGGAAAGAGAAGGCACCTTCAATTCCCTTCACTAGCGTCAATTCACCCTCAGAAGGGATTGATTCTTAGGTAATTCCACCATAGACTTCGATAATTAAATACTGCGGTTGTAAACTGTGATAATGATTATTTCTTTTTACGTATTTATTAATGAAAATAAAAATTTATGAATGATTATTTTGTGTTTACGTAACAGTTAATGGTAATAACAGTGAGTAATAAGAATTATCATTTCCTAATTATCAATGATGTTAAGAGTGATTTAAAGAAATTATTATTTAATTTAAAAATCATTCTTATCATTACTTGTTTTTTAAATATTTTTAATTATCAAACCATAAATATACTGAACAACCACGGTGACATCACACATCCTTGTCTAAGGCCTGCTTTTACTGGGAAATAATCTCCCTCTCTGCTACGTATTCTAACCTGATCTTCACTATCCTCGTAAAATCTCTTCACTGCTTTCAGTAACCGACCTCCTATTTCATACATTTGCAATATCTGCCAAGTTGCTCCCCTATCCACTCTTACATGCTTCTTAAAATCCATAAATGCAACGAAAACCTCTTTGCCCTTATCTAAATACTGTTTCCCCCCTTATATATTTCACTGTAAACACTGGGGCTACACATCCCCTATCCTTCCTAAAGCCTCCTTGTTCATCTGTAATCATGCTCTCCGTCCTACTCTTAATTCTTTCCATGATAACTCTACCATACACCTTACCAGGTATATTCAGCAGGCTTATTTCCCTATATTTTTACACTCTCCTTTATCACCTTTACTTTTATACAAAAGAATAATGCATGCTCTCTGCCAATCCTTAGGTACGTTCCCCTCTTTCATACATTTATTAAATAAACGCACCAACAATTCCAAAACTTATCCCCACCTGCCATGAATCCCAGCTGTTTAGCAACCTTTTATTCTTCCCACAGCCTCACCCACCTCCCCCACACTCACATCTGGTTCTTCCTCACTCCTACAAGATGTTATACCTCCTGCTCAAACACAAAATCAGTTTCTCTACCTTCATCAACATTTAACAGTTTCTCAAAATATTCCTTCCATCTTCCCGATACATCTAACTCTCGAACTAATAACTATCCTCATTTATTTTTAACTGTCAAGTTCATTCGTTCCCTATGCTTTCTCAGCTTATTAATATCACTCAAAGACCTTTGTTGACAGCATCTCCCACTCTCTTGTTTGCTTTCCTTTTACATTCCTTCACTACTTTCTTAACCTTCTTTTTCACCTCTCCATATACTCCTCTCTCCTAATATCACTTCTACTTTGTGAAAACCTCTCATACGCTGACTCTTTTTCTTTTTCCTCTCTTTACCACTTGCTTTTTCACTCCCTCATCCACCCTCCTATATCCACTAATGACTGCTGAACACTAACAATGCATTCTTAAATCTACTCCATACCTCTTCAGCCTCAATGCTTTTACTCCCACTAGCCCATCTTTATACTAATAGATTTTTATATCTTACCCTAACTGCCTCGTCCTTTAGTT